CCCTGTAAATACAAAATATGTACAATGTGAGAAAGAAATACATATGCCTATAATGTCATATACAAATATCTTGTTTATCTATCATATTACTCGTAGAATATCGGAAAACTGGTATTGCCAAAGATCAGATGCACTATCCTTACTATGGTATTTGGCTAGAGTATAGCTCAAGAGTAAAAGCAGTACTTCCAATCGCCAGATACCCTGTAATTTACTACCCGTTATGGAATGCACTGTTCAAGTAGAGAATTCTTCAGCTGTGCAATATACCCGCTTGCGCCTGCGATGGCTCTACGGGGCATCTGACAGCAAGCACTCGCTGCCACAAAGACACCTTGACACCGTCGACACGTCGCGTCGCCTCTAGATTGGCATGTCCTGCGGGTCCTTCCAAGCCATTCGAAGCAGGCGCTAAATATGCATATCCCAATCGCCTCTCTCTCTCTCTCTCTCTCTCTCTCTCTCTTTGACTCCCACTGCCTATTTTGAGCCGATCTCTCACGCTCTGCTATACAAGGCTCTAACTAGGCGTATCCTTCAAGATGCAAAACTCACCTGTTGGTCGTCCGAGCATGTCCTTTGCCATCAATTTCGAACTGCTAACAACTCAAAAGAGAGAACGAGAGGCGGGGGAGGGAACAGAAAGAGAAAAAGAGAGCGAGAGAGAGCTGTGCTCTATATAACGTGTTATTTGCAGTGTGCCAGGCCATTCATTAGAACCAATTTTCAATTTCCAATTGCACGACAGCAGGTGCTCAAGACGCATCCACCAACTGAGCCCGAAAAGAAATTTGAACTGAAGTTAAGGAACTGAAATTTCAGCTCAATTACAGCTGAAGTCGATGATAACTTGATATAGAGTCTATAGCGGAGGAGTAATCGAGGCAGTTGCATAGTTTGGCAGAGAGTAACTAGCCAAATGAAGATGAGCAAAGCAAAGATGAGCAAATGAGCAAAGATCTTCAAAGGATTTGAGATCAACGAACAAAACATTGCTTTATTGAAATACTCAGTCAGTTCGATTCAGTTTAATATATAATCTAGTTTGTTCCATTAAGAATGGCTCAGCTGAACAAGTTATTTTGATGAACTAGTGAACCAATTTCGAGATCAGTGGACGATAGAATCTAAGTATTAGCCTTAAGTTCATTAGCTCTTCCTCTCTCTATCTTTTACTTCTTGTCTCTACCACACTTTCTCTCTCTATATATATTTATTTAAATCAATCGATCTCTTTCTTTCTTTCTTTTTCTAACCTTCCTATTCTTTCACTAACTCTCTCTCTCTTTTTCTATTTCTCTCTCTCTCTCTCTCTCTCTCTCTTTCTGCCATCATTCAAATTTGACATCGTAAACCTTCTATTAAGTATGCACTTCTCTTTCTCGTTCACTCTCTTCATGCATCTCTGTAGAGAATTTCTTAACTCTTTCCATGGGCAAAGGGTCTTTCGGCACAAAGTGTTTCATCTCGCGGAAGATCAATTTGTTGCCTTTGTATTTCAATTTTTTTTGGTGTTGCGATGCTTTCTTTCAAGGCGTTGGCAATTCCCCCGCCTTCTTCATTTYCCTCTGCTGCTGCTGCATTTCGCGTAAATGCGGAAAATTGCAAATGATTGAAATCGAATCCGATCGCAGCTCATCGAACTCGTCGAGCTCGTCGAACTCATCTTCTCATCCACCTTGACATCATTTAAATTTTTGCGCACTTCAAGAAAGGAAACGAGAAAAGGGTTGCGCAGGGTGTGGGGATGAGCCAAGCAGAGCGAGAGGGCGACGAGGGGTGGGGGCACAATTCTGAAGTTGAGTTTAAGCTGTTTTCTTTTCTCTCACGACCCAGGCCGCAAAATCCGAAAGCAAAGGGTTTCTCCAATTTACCTTTTTTGCATTTTCTCTCAATCGCTGTCAAGTGAGCCGCACTTAATGAACCAGACAATGCATATTATTGTCTCGCTATCTCGCTCTCTCTTCCTCTATCTATGTCAGTGCCTGTCTCTGATCAGTTTTGCAACTGTTATAATAATATTTGTCACCGACATGACAGCTAAGGGTAGTGCGAAAAAAAGGAGTAGCGGATCAGACATTTCTCCCATCTCCCAGATTTGCATTAATGATATGCAACATTTTTTAGATCATTTCCATCACTCCACAGCTCTTTCATCTCTCGGAAATCCTGTGATGCATGATGATCTAGTAGCGTATGAGAAATGCAATTCGCATTGCATATGCATGAAGCAGACGTGGATACCCTGTGGATAAATCTATTTATCATTTGGCACGTCTCAAATTTATGTGAAATTGGAAGAATTCAATCGAATCTGAATATTGCCAGATTGAGATGTATGTGTAGAGTATAAGATATATAAAAATAGCTCCGATTAGTTAGGACTAAAAGCTTCCTAGACTACTCTTTATATAGCTAGCTTTGATATCTATATGTTGTTGAGGCAAGATCCACTTGAATGAAGATAAATGAAAATTTTGAAGAATGTTTAACAGACTGATTGACTGCCTATGACTGACCGATTGAAGGACTATCCTAGCTACTATCTAGCTTTGCTCTTGCCCTCATGGCCTCATGGCCTCTTGGAAGAGAATGTCACTTGGAACTAATATTTTGCATGTAGAATCTGAGGCAGCTGTCGGCTCGAGAGGGTGTACGCAGTTAATTTGGGAAGGTTGAAAATCAAATATCATATATATCAACTTACATATCACAACAAAATATATACAGCTAAACAAAAACAAAAACAAATTCAGAATTCTTCTCTTTCTCAATTTCCATTCGCATTTGCATTTTGGATTTCGGATTTGCATTTGGCATCTTGCGTCTTGCATGTCTATTACATGCGCTCACACCTTTCGAGAGCCGAGGGTACAAAGTCAGCCAGGGGCGGGACAGAGCGACAGCTGTCGAACGCAACCAAAGACAGAAGAAATGTGTGTGTGAGCTAGAGATAGAGGCAGAGGCAGAGAGAGACAGAGAGTCAGATTCCGTTTTCGACTTCGCTTTTCAGTCACCAGCCCCGAAGACATATGCAAATGTCAATTTATGCAAATTATTCAGGACACACGATCGGGGTAGCGACCCCGTCTTGACTCTACCAGCACTCTACCCCCTCTCTCTGTGTCTCTCGAGATCTATTTTTATTATGAATTATTGAGCTATCGACAGTCCAAGCAAAAAGTAAATAAGCTATGGGGTTGACTTGAGATTGAGGGAAGCCCGATTCACTTTGTCTCATCCGAGCTTGTGTTCTTCCCTGACTCTAGCTCTCTTTTGTCCAAACTTCTCCCATCTCAAATCTACCTCTGTCTTTACCAAGCACTTGCCTTCACGATCTCTCTCTCTCTCTCTCTCTCTCTCTCTCTCTCTCTCTCTCTCGCACAATGTGATTTCGATACGCGTGAGGCTTTTTTCTCTTCCGCATCTTTCTCTCAACTCCCATCGCAAGTGGCTCGGGCGCTGTGACATGTGACATGAGACATGTGACATGACACAGTCGAATGTGCTCACTCGCGATGCAATTACGATAAGTGCGAGAGATAAGGCTTAAAGAGTGGCCTGCACCGCTTAGTGGTAGCGGCCATCGACTACCGGTTGCCAATTAGATGAGTTAGTCGCCCGTTTGATGGGCCCGAAAAATTGAGGAGGACGCCGGTTAAACGTCCACGTGCCAGCTGACAGCCGAGCACGACAACAACAATGAAACACTCGACTAACTTAAATTAACTTACTCTAACTCGCTCTCTCTCTCTCTCTCTCTCTCTCTCTCTCTCTCTCTCTCGCTCTCTTTATCTGACTCTCTTTTACTGTCACTCTCTTCCCTTTTCTCTCACATTGTACTCCTCACATTTTAACACAATCGACTCTCTTTCTCTCTCTCTCTGGGCGTCAATTTTGGGAGATCTCTTGTGAGTGATCAGAAGCTTAGCCTGGTTAGCTTTTTTCCGCGTCTTGAGTCATAATATGGAATACTCGTTTATACATATATCTAGATACTGTGTGCAGCCAGTGGGTCTTGCTCGTGATACTTTTTGAACGAATCCTCTATATATTGATAATATGACGTCGAAGTATGCTCCGTTAGCGAGATCACCGAACTGCTTAACGACTAGAAACCTACGCTCCCTTGGGCGCTTTTCTGAATCTAGGTTTTGCATTCGTGTTTTGTATTTTACTTACCTGATGAGCGTTTTGCTTGAGCTGGGATTAGTAAACGGTAAACAACGGCTGCATTAGAGCTCGTGTCCTAAATACTGATCTGCATCTATAGATCCTGTATCTAGACACCAAAGGAAAACACCCGCACAGCTGCTTGGGTAAGGGAGGAGATAGGAGAAAGGATTTCCGACACCTTCTTGCACCTTTCATCAGATATAATGCAACATTTGTCGCAATTTGAAAGCAAAGGAGGAGGAACAAAAGGGAGAAGTTGCTTAGGCAAGGATTAGAATTAGAATATGCCTAGATCAAGATAGAGAGATATGAATGAAAGAAGGGCTCAGTGAATAGGCGAGGAGTTGAGTCGGGTCAGGTAAGCAAGGTATGCTAATGAGCAGGTAGTTCGGTTCAATAGAGCTCGTAGGCGTTGTTAATCCTTTCGACACCTAATTAGTGCTAGCCACACCTGAAAACGTCTCCCGAGACCCTGCAAATCGGCATTTGTCACAGGCTGCGAGGTTCACAGTTGACAACAATTTAATTTAGATTAAGATCTTCCTTTCAATCTGGTTCATCTGGCATATGACTATGTGTCTCTATAGGGGAACAGACTTAAGGTCTAGCTCAAGCTTAGCTGTAAACTGAAACCATTTCCGGAACTGCTGCAACACGAAATAAGGATGAATCTATTCATAGGAAGAAGCTGAGTCAGCAATCGAACAAAACTGGACTCAGTAATAAGTCATAAAAATGAATGGAACTGGTTCCATTACTGAAAAAAAAAAAATAGTTCTTTAATTATACATATTTGTATTCTTTATTGACATAATTTTGATGGATTACAGCTTATTAATTTTCTGAATGATTGAATTGAGTTTGCGTCGCAAAAGTGGGTTGCTGATATCATTCAATTCCGGGCTATCGATTTCCTCCTCGGAACTTGATTCGGAACTATCCTCCCTTTCGAAGCCATATATCTTAATCTTCTTCTTCTTCTTGTCCTTGGGCTTTTCCGACGCCTCCTCGTTCGCCTGCTCACTTGGTTGCTTATCATTGCCTTCGGCCTCTTCCTTCTTCTTTTGGGCCAGCGATTCGAGTAGCGCCTTCTTTGCCTCGCGTCGCATCGCCTTGCGCTCCATTCTCGAGAGTCTCGGACTTTTCTTTTTTAGCGTACTCCTTTGCTGCATGCCAAAAGGCTGTACCTCCGCATCATCTTTATCTTTGTCTGGCTCGCCTGGATTGGCGTTTACCACGTCCCCCTCATTCGCTGCTATTGTACTTTCTGAATTTTCCGAACTTTTTGTTTGATCTATATTGGCATCTATTTTCGATTCGCTTTCACTTACATTGAGCTCTAACCCTGCTTCGCCTGAGCTGGCCTGACTGACTGCATTGTTCTCCATCTGGTTTGCATCCTCCAAAGCTAATTTTATGTCACTGTGAGTGAGCAGCATATTGATTTTAGCATCCTTCGAGGCTGACCCTGGACTGTTCTCATTGATTTTAGTTAATGTAACTCCTTCTGATTGAGATTCCTTCAGCTCTACCGATGTGGCACCCTTCAAGCCTTGCTCCTCGTCGTGTTGCTCTACCTCCACCGACGTAGTACCCTCTGAAGCCGAGTTCAACAGATTTCTCTCTTCCAGCACCTCCTCGCTTTTCTCTAGCTCCTCGTTCCTATCACTGGGTGTTGATTGGTTTGTATTTGAATCCACCTCCTGGCTATGAAACAATGTATGCTCCACCGTCTGTATGAGCTCCATAATTAACGTTTTTACGTTTTTGTCCAGGTCCACCATTAGCTCATTGTCTGTGGAGAAGGGCAATTGAATTGTCTCAGAGTCTACCTCCTCGTTAGCTACCTGATTGGACTCCATCTCTTCAGAAAGGGATTGCATTACTCTCACTTCGTCTTTCGCTAACTCCTCCCAGCTATCAGGGCATGGCGCTATGTTCGATTGAGTTTTCATTGAATCCACATCCCCGTCCTTGAATCCTTTCTGTAGCTCTACCGATTTAGCACCCTCCATTTCAGCACCTGCTTCAGATACTTCAGTCTTATTCCGCTCCAATTCTAGCGACTGATCGCCACTTTCATCTGGCTTCAAGTCACTTTTCTTGACCTCAGCTGCAGCCGAATCTTCTGTAGATAGGGTAGCTTGATTTTTCATAACGCCTTTGGAATCCTTTCCAGCAGCTTCTGTAGCTATTGGCTTTGCGTCCGCAGCTGCTGATTTTGGTTGATTGTATGGCTTATCTGGCTGCCTGATGATCTCTACCGACTGTATAATAATAGGTTCTTTTACTATTGGAAGAACCTTCGTTGCTTGCTGTGCGCCAACTTTTTTTGATGACTTATTCAATGGAGCAGATTCGGATGATTTCTTTTTCGTCGTATGACCCTTTTGTTTGGCTTGAGCTTTTGAGTTAGGAGCCTTTGATGCGTTATTACGAGCATGTGCCTCTCGCCCAGATCGATTTTGCTTGGCCGGTGCCAAAACTGGGTTACTCGCTCTGGCTGGAGTAACGCACTTTGAACTCAGATCGTCAATTTGATCTTTGACCTGAGCCAACTTGGATTGAACCTTTGTAGAAGATGTCGCCTCGTTTGCGGTTTGTGCTGAATTGCGATGATCAACCTTTGGACTAGGGGGCTGATATGTCTTTTCTGGAACTACAGGCTTGGGCTCCCTTGGGCTTACTTGCGGCGTACTCTCTGGGGATTTATTCCATGCCGAGGAGGCCTTTGGAGCATACCTCGGAATCACTGGAGATGCCCTTAGTAAATCTGTTTTGGTAGTTTCTCGATTTGCATTCGGGCTGCTCTGACTTGATTTCGCTAATGAGTTTTCGGCTGAGCCCTTCACATTTACAGCAGACTTCTGTTGAGTAGACGACCCTTCGCGCAGACCCTCCGGACCTGATAGATTATAGATGAGTGGAGCAAAGCTCGCTATCGATTGCGGCTTCTTCGGGCTTGATCTGTCAGCTTGCAGCTGGAATGGCCTTTGGTTCCTACGTGCCAAGAGGTTAGCTTGCTTCTTGGAAATCCTTGGTATGCCCTTTGGCTTCTGAATCTGTTTAGAATTGTCTTGTTTTGCTGTTTTTGAAACTGGCGAATCTACAGGGCTTTTCTTTGGTTCTGTCTTTCGATTCGGCTGGATCGATGGTTCCTGGGGAGGGCCTTGAGCTGGTTTCGGACTCTCTGGTGTAATGGACTCAGTCTTTGGTTCCACAGCCTGAGACTGAGATACGCAGCTGACTTCAGTGACTGGCTGTATTAAACTTGAGGCCTGAACAGTTTGAATGTTGTTTCCATTTCCCGGAGCTATGTTAACTATCAAATTATCGAAGTTTTGCGACAGCTGTTGCCTGTTGTTTGAGTTGATTTGATTTGAATTTGATGTAGCCTTAGTTGCTTTCACGTTATTTTCAGTCAAGGTCTGCTCAGTCTTTAAATGGGAATCGTTTTTTGGAACCCAGGTCTGCTTAGTCTTTGAATGGGAATAGTTTTTTGGAGCCCAGGTCTGCTTAGTCTTTGAATGGAAATCGTTTCTTGGAGCCCAGGTTTTCTTAGTCTTTGATGGAAAATTGTTCTTTGGAGCCAAGGTCTGCTCAGTCTTTGAATTGGAATCGTTCTTTGGAGCTAAAGTCTGCTCAGTCTTTGAATGGGTATCGTTTTTTGGAGACAAGGTCTGCTCAGTCTTTAGTTGGAGATCATTCTTTGGGGCCAAAGCTTGCTCAGTCTTTGAATGGAAATCGTTCTTTGGAGCCAAAGTTTGCTCAGTCTTTGAATGGGAATCGTTCTTTGGAGCCAAAGTCTGCTCCGCCTGCAAATGAGAGCCGTTCATTGGAGTTTCATCAGCTTTCGCATTGTTTTTGGATAGCTGCTGTATTTGCTTGGTGGATTTAAGGATTTCCTTGACGACAAATTCAGGCTTCTCGCGCAATGAGCTCTGACCGTGTTTATAACCTGAAAAGTTAGTCCTGTAATGTTTTGTGTCGTCTCTCGGTGGCCTAACTATCGGCATTGGATTGATGGGTTGCATGACGCGACGCGGTGCTCGAAGCTGTTCGTACGGACCTTCCGTAGAATTTTCGGTATTATTTTCCATTTTAGGTTCCATTTTGAGCTGTAATTGATTTTCTAGTGTTTGTTCTATTTCCTTGTCCAACTGATTGTCCATTTTATCCCGTATCTCCTGATGCCAGTGTCTTTCTATGTCGTCGCATTCAGAGAAACGCGATTGACCGTTCTCATCGAAAGACAGAATGCGCGGTTTGAATTGCTCCATTTCGTTTGCTTGAGCAATCTTGGGCTCCGGCTGCAAAGTGAGAAAAGTTTTTAGAGATCGTATATACTCTAGTCGTACAAATTGGCCGACAAGCTATAAAATAGAATTAGTTATAAGAATTATGCGAAAAACAGTCATAGCTCAACGATATTCATCGATTAACGTGCGTGATTCATATACATATATAAAAATCAGCTTAGCAAAGAAGAGAAAGATTTTTCCCGAAATCGATGCGGAAGTATAGCGATAAGATAGGCCAGACTTATGTATAGGTACTTGTGCATATACATACATACATATATRGTGCTTCCACTTGAAAAATTTAGTAAAAATTTAGTTTATTCACTCCTCTCTGAGTCCACAAATCGCATAATTCTTATAGTATGCATGTCTCAAGAAATATCGATATTTATTGGAATATACAAGGAGTTGCAACAGAAGCATATATATATATATATATAGAAGCATATGTAGATATAACGTGTTATGAATTTATATATGAATGCGCTTTAACGTATAGTAGATCTTCCGAATCGATATTTATCGATTGAAGAAACGGCAATTGGTAGCCTCTTCTTCAAGCTATGAGTGGTTACGGGGCATACAGGGTGTCCATATATTTACCTGCTCCCGGGCGCAAACATTAGTAGGCTCCATTTGGGCCTGGGGTGGTGCTTGATTGGCAGCCGCTTCATGAGAGACCTTGAGAAAGTGGAAGAGATTTTAGAGAGCGGGAGAGACACAGATATAGAATGCCAACTCACCTCAGACGGTGGTGCAGCAATGTAGCCGACCGGGTTCGCTGGCTGACTGGCAGGAGCAGAGGCCGCGTTGCTGTCCGGTTCAGCCTGCACGTGGGCCTCAGGTGGCGGACCCCCATTTATATAGACGTTCTGGGAGAATTCAGATTTGGTCGACTTCTTCTGCTTGTAAATGGTGACCATCAGCTTCTCGTTCGTGCGGGTTATGTAGACGTCGCTGGCCACAGCTATGTCGATCTCGAGCAGCTCCGACTCGGCCTCAGCTGGCTGCTCGGCGGACGGTGCGCCAACCACCGGATTGGTGCAGCACGGGTAGCAGCATTGCATGCAGAATCCTGGCTGCTGCTCCACCGACTGGGCTGCTGCTTGTGGTGCTGCCAATTGCGGTGGTGCAGGCGGTGGCGGTAGTGGTGGCAGTGCCGGTGCTGCTTGTCTCGGTTGGCCAGTCCCATCCTGATAGTTGTAGATCTTATAAGGATAATTTGGCTCCACTGGTGGCGCGAGCGCTAAAGCTGCTGCAGCTGCTCCTGAATCCTGCGGCATTCGCTGCTGAATTTGTGGATCCATTGGCTGCAGCATCTGCACCTGCAGCGGCTGCTGCATCTGCACCTGCATCGGCGCCTCCTTTAAAGCCTGCACTGCATGTTGCTTTGGTGGATCCATTGCCTGTTGCATCCGCATTGGCACCTGCATCGGCGGCTCCTTTAAAGCCTGCTGCTGCATCTGCACCTGCATCGGCACCTGCATTAGCTGATGCATCGGTGCCTGCATCGGCGACTCCATTGGCTGCTGCATCTGCATATGCATTTGCTGCTGCATTTGCATATGCATCTGTTGCGGCACCTGCATTGGGTGTTGCATCTGCACCTGCATCGCCTGCTGCACATTGGCAGCTCCAAGCAACTGGCCCCCATTCTGTGGCACTCCATTCGCCTGGGCTCCAATCCCTTGCGGTGAGTTCGGTGGTGCAACGACCAACTGCATCGGCTGAAAAGTTTGATTGTACGGCTGATAGATGTAGGCCGACTGATTGTCCGGCTGATTGGTGGCTGCAGTTGGCATCACCTGCATCGGCTGCACCATCTGGCACGGCTGCTGATAGACGACCGGCGGCTGCACCTGAGCCTGTGCCTCCACAGCACCTCCGGCGGAAGCGGCACTTGCATTGCCCTGGCCCGGATTCTCCAGCAACTGAGTTGGGTGGCAGAAAAATGGCTGCCCTTCATACGTCGCTTGGGGTACCACCGGCACTTGCACGGACACAGGCCCGCCCTCCGCCGGCTGGTACGAGTTGAATGGCTGCGTGGTGTTATTATACCAGACGCCATTATGATACAACCCGTTTGGTGGAAAATTTTGCATATTCATTGCTTCCACTTCCTGCTGCAGAGGCAGCGGCTGCGGCTGCGGCTGCGGCTGTGGTTGCGGCTGCGGTTGCGGCTGCGGCTGCGGCTGCGGTTGCGACTGCGGTTGCGACTGCGACTGCGGCTGCGGCTGCGGCTGCGGTACCACGTGTCCGTGGTAGAGAGCTTGCGATTGCTGTTCCAATTGGTATTTTTGCATGATATTCACGATAAAAACTGAAGAACTGAAGAAATAACCGAATTCTATTGAAATCAAAAATTGAGCTACGTTGATTAGACAATTTTTGAATGCTAAGCTTGCTGAAAAATGCAAATGAAAAGCTGAGAGCTGACAGCTCTAAAGTGAAAATGAATATCGAATGTGCCGTTAACCAACACTGCAGACAAAAGTGTTGTCGTCTCCAGGCAAAATCAGCTCCAAGGCATGCATAAAATTACATATCAGATTAACATTGACATTAACCAACACTGGCAAGCAAAGGCATCCGAATATTATTTATAGAAATTCCCAATATAATTTCTTTTGATTTTATATGTACATATATATTTATTGAGATCGATAAAATTTTATTTTGGATTTACATAGTTTTAATATTTTAGAATTATTATTCATTAAGCTGAGTTAACATAACATAATACGATACCTGTTCCCCTCCCATTACAGAAGCGCAGCTAACTTCAATTTGCATGCTCACTCTCTGGCCCGCTCACTCCCACTAACGATGCCCATCAAGCTTCTGCTCCGCACGCCATCTGTCTTCCTCACTCACATTGAAGCATTCAGTGATCCATTTAGCATTTTATTTTGCGTGACGCTCTCTCTCTCTCTCTCTTCCTTCTTCGCCACTCACTTGCCAAATTATCAACTCGTGCAGTGCGATTTCTATTGCATTTAGTCAGAATTGTTAGCGCATTAGCTTTCAATAGTGGCCGTTTTTAGCGGAACTCACGCCGATGCCTACATCGTAGATACTCAAGCGAACTATTATGCCATATTAATGCACTACAAATCACTTTCTGCCCGATTTGATGTGAAAGAAATTTGAACAAAGAATCAAGTAAATCTTAGCTCTAAATTAGTTTTTTTATCTTTTTTATTTGTTTGCTTCGGGTCAGGACGAAATACGATAAATGTACAAAGCACCAGGACCAGGACCCGGGGCAGGGTCTCGGGCCAGGGGCTAAACGTTTAGTCGCATTTGCATATTTAATTGTCAAGAAAATTACAAGAATTTCGAAAAGAAAATCCAAAAGTTTAGACACAAAAATGCGCATTTAGAGCGAAATGAAGGGAAACTATAGAATATTGTTATTGTTGTTGCTGTTGCTGTTCATAAATCTAACCTCGCGACCGCAAAAGCCATTGGCCAAACGAATAAGAAAGGGAGGCCGCTGCAAGGAGGGTTGGCTCCGTCTTCCCTATGCAAATGAGTTTCATAAACGGGACACCAAATCTTTCTCACTCACACTCGCAGTCTCAGTGCCTGTGGTGTGCGCGTCTCAGCTGGAAGAGTTTGTCAAGCATTTGACAGTTGCTTAGGATCAGGTTCCGATGCAAAACATTAAAATTAATGCATGGCTGCAATTAAATTTGAATAAAATGTTAAGTTTATTGAATCTTACTCGCTCGCTCGCTCTCTGTCATACCCAAACTTTAACCCCTTTGCCTTAGGTTTTTTTCTTATGTAATTCTTAATTGATTGGCCCAAGGCAAAACCTGGCAGGCAGGCAAATAAATTTCCATACTTACATTTTTCCACATGAGGAAACGTACTGCAACACACACATGCACCTATGCCTGTGCCCTAAATTTAACACTGATTCTCATTTAGCCGCGCCGCAGCTTTCCCCTTTTACATTCCTCCTTTTCTTTATCTACACTGCAAATTTTACTCATGCGCGCTAACGATCTCTTTAACTCACTCCCACTCACGATGCGCAGCTAGCTTCTCCTTCTCTCCCAATTCGCGCATTGTTTTCGATTTCCCCTTCGGTTTAGCTTGACAGAAAGATGCTTAGCTGCGCATGCTTTTACTCTCTTCAGCTCGCTCTTACTAACGATGCGCAGCATGCTGCGCACAATAGCCATCTCCTCTTCACTCCCACTTACGCAGTCCTTCTCTATTCGCCCGCTAATTGGCAAGTACGCAGGCAGGCAAGTATTTTAGCAGTTAGTTTCTTATTGATATATTCAGTCTCTCTGCCGCTCATTCACATGTTTACTTACCACATTAAGCTTCTTCTTCCCACTCATAGCCTCACTCCAATTGGAAGCTCTACTTTTCAATTGGAAGACAGGCGGCTAATCAGAATTTTATTTTGCATGTCTGGCACGTATTTTCAGACTTTCAATACGTGCTATGACTTATATGTTACCTCTGCCGAATTGTCGGAATTAATTTGCAGCATTTGTCACAATCACTAATTGCTGCAACTAAGATTATTCAAGGAAAACAACAGAAAAGAGAATTGATTATGATTGCAAATATTTTTGGCCATGCGCTACGCAGTGTCGACCGGCAGCAGATCAGCTGATCAGCAGCAGCTGATGACAGATTCAACATAATACATGCATACATAGACGGGCAATGACTTCTGTCCCGATTCTCAATGCCACCAACATTTCTAATGCTCTCAGCAATTGTAGGAGGATAGTGCAACGATCTCTCTCAATCTCATTTGCTTTCTCTCTCTTTATGTTCATTTATGTACATATATATCTCTGTTTTGTTTTTGATCTCTCCCTCTCTGTAGCCCTCCCTCTCCGGCTCTCTGCCTCTCTGGTCAGTGAGTGCGTACATTAATCATAAGAACAGGAGCAGTTAGTGGTTGGGTTTATCGCTGTTCAAGGATCTGCTAATGACTCCGTTGTCCGAGTGCAGAAAATCAATTAAATTTATGAAAACCCCTCAACTGTTTACCATGCATCTAATGGGGGGCAGGAGAGTCGTCATTATGCTGCCTGAAGGACCTTCGACAACCCTCAGCCTAATGATAAACTGTCAAAGGCTAGCGTCGAGCACGATGCATATCGCACCACCAGCACCACCAGCACCACCAGCAACCACCACCTCGATCAACGACCCACGCGCCCAACACATTAGCACAAAAGTCGATCTGCAAGTTTATGATGGCATATGAAAAATTTGTTTGGCTCTTTTACAGATGTTTTACCGTCGGGTTAATTTCTAATTTTATGACTCTGAAATTTCCCTGCTGCCACCCGCGCCACCCCCGTTGACAACTGTCAATTAGGGCTCAGCCAGGAAGTCGCAACACTTGCAACACGCTCTCAACAGTTATCTGAATGTAATTACAACTGTTCTATTAGAGCGCCTTGCTGCCAGGATCGGAGGATAACGAACACATAGATTTCCATAAGAGTGTATGAGTGCACGTGGCGCTGTTTGCCGTGCGGAATGTGTTCCGGGTACATCGTAGTGCAGTACTTGAACCGACTTTGGGTGTATCACAGTTGTCAAGATTAAATAGCCGTAGCTCTATATAACTAGAGGTTAACTGGACATCATCATAGAAGGGTCTGCAGTTGCAGGAGCTCCAACTGAACTCAACTTTATATGGATTCTATATACATATCTACTCCTCTAGCTCGACCCTTGACCTCGACCGCACTGCTCGTTCTCACGTCTCTCATTTGCTTTGTCCAAAGTCTTCTTTGTTGTTGTTGTTGTTGTTCTTGTGTTTTCCCGCTCGCTGCACAACACGCCAAAAGTTTTCGCACACTTAAAAAAAGAAAAAAAAAAGATTTATTGGCAAACACACACACACACAGTCACACAGACACACTCGCACTCGCACATACATAAATCTCAATCTGTCTCGAGGAATGCGAATTGTGAAATCGCGCCAAATTTTTAACCACAAATTAGTCAATAAACAATGGCTAAAGCGGTCATGGGTTAATACGTTTCAAATCAATTGCAATCGGGGCAAAGGCAAAGGCTCGCCTGCCCGTGCCTGTTCCCAGCTACATAGACCTCAACATTGGACCAAAAAGGGTTGCACACACACACACACACACATAGCGTGTTTAAAGCCTTAACCTGAAAATTGCACAGATTTCAAATGGCAAATGCAACGAATGGAGGAGGGGGGAGGGCATGCCTAAGCACAAATCAAACTGAAAATGAGCTCAAAGTGAATGAATAATTCGACTATATATCAAATATGTACGCATCGCCTTGTTATAGGCCTCAAAAGGGTTTATTTCTAAATTTGTATATTATTTATTGCCGATATAGTAAAGTGTAGCTTCTTAGGGGGGGGAATAGATCCAGATGACGTTGCAATCTGCAATTGAAACTGATTTCCTGAATGATCTATATATGGATAAGGAAGATATGATGATGATCGATATTGATAAGAATTAGATTTAAATATAGATATAAAATGCCAATAAGAATATGCTAATGGTGAGGCTATAACAAATCTGTTGCTAAAGCTAATGCTAAGCCTAATGCTAATGCTAATACCACTGCTAACAACAATGCCAATGGCAATGATACTGGGAATGATAAACGATGCAATTATTTACAACAAAAATGATAATGATGGCAATAATGATGATGCTGATGACAACAATTACAGCAATAAATATCAGCTAGTCCTAGCTTCCAAATAAATGCAATCCCAACGGAAAGATCTATTTTCCCAGGCTTCAGTGCTTGGGCTACTTTTCGCACAGCCAACGGCAATTAGCGCACACACATACATACATACACATGGACATATTTTCGTCCGTCGGCTGAGATTTATGTGACAACTCAATCGCGGGGCCAGGGCTGACCGTAAGGCTGTTTACATCGGAATTTATGTCACGGAATCAATTGTCCGACACGGGGCAAAAAAAACAAGCGCAAACGAAAAAGGCAAATTCCGGCTCGGTGCTGATCCGCCCTAAGGCCGCGCGACATTTCGACATCTTGCAAGGCGTCCTTAATCCCGGGCACATCGCGCGCTTGCATAATTTTCCAGTTCAGCGGGCCGCTGGCACTGACTGATCGTCGTCCTGTCCGATTGTCCTGCGACGTTGACAATGCATAATGAAGAGGTCAGCGGCGTTTGTTTTGGTTGATCCTGCACGCCAGTCAAAGGATTAACTGGCCCGCAACATGGGCGCGAACTTGCGGTCGCTCCCAGACAGCTGCCGCTGCCGCTGCTGCTGTGATATCCTGCTCAACGCTTCGTGCATATAGCATATCCTTTGATTGGGCAACAGGATGCGCAGTGGCTGGCCACAACAATCGCTTGTGCCCAGTCACATCCTGTCGCCCCACATCCTGCGCACGAATGATAAATGAATCGATTTTCCCATTCACAGCCCACAACATTTCCCACACTGTTGACACAGATCGGGAGCAACTGAGCACAAAGACATTTCTCAAGCATGAAGAATTGACGAAATCCCGAAAATCCTGCAAGGACGCTCTCATACGAAGACTTTGCCTGGGAGGCAGGAAAGTCAATATCTTACTTCTCGGGAGTGAGTTGGCTAGAAATGTAATATGTATATCTAAGTGATAGTTATATATATACTTCGGAGAGCGATAAGCTAACGAGAGAGCGAGCATGAACTCTATCATAGCAAGACTCTACCTGAACTGCCTAGAAGATAGAATGGAAATTGAATCAAAATCTATAAGCAATTTGATCAACTTACAAGTCAAGCCAAAGATGTACGATATATATATTGACTACGATATGGTATTCAGATCCTGGTCAACGTTTGCCTTGCCTCACTGATGAGAGAGCGCGCGCAAGAAAGCAGCTCGGACAGCTTCCAAAGGGTTCTCCAGTCAGTCAAACACAATTAAATCCAATTGTGAAAGGGTCGCAGCGGCTACTTCCGATCTGAACAGAACAAAAAATATGGAAACCTTTTAATGTTGTTGTTTTTTTCTGTGATGTGCATTCATGTGCATGTAAATAACTTACATGCAATAAAAATCAACCTTCGTTATGGTACGGGACAGGGGCCAAGGCCAGGCAACAGGGCTAAAGCTAGGGGTTGGGGCAGGAGTAGGGGTAGGGGCAGAAGCAGGGGCAGGGGCAGGGGCCAAGACTGCCCGCGGGCTGGTTTCTTCGGGTTGACGGACAACCTCAACGCACATCGCGATGCAATGTTTTCTTAATTAATTTCCGTTGTTTTCCTTGGCAGTAGCATCCCAAAAATTGAGAAAACTCTCGCTCTACCTATGCGGAAGTGGATATACTCTAACAGCTTTTAAGCTTGGTATTAAGTGATATATAGAAATTTGACTGTACATACCGAATTCCAAAATGATATTTCTGCGGAGAGCTGCGGTACCTAGTTGACAGATTTGATTCAATTTGATATATTATATTATATATTTAATGAGTAGCAGGTGCACTTTCTTCCGAATCCGTGTAGGCAGTTGTGATACAGTTGACCCTCCAATGAATTGCGCAGCAATATCCTCACGGAGCGCTGAGTTCGCATAGGTCAGGTCAGCATAAATCGAGCACTCCTTATGAATGCTATGACACATTTGCTCACATAGCTAACATGCTCACTTGGCAAGGGTATTTGTCCACACACGCATACACATACACATGCATATGTATAAAAAAAGGGGTCCCGCTATTTTCTCGATTAGCTTACGCGCTGCAGCGGGTCAATGCTCAGGGTAGCGCCTGGCCTAATCCAATTACCGATTGACCGCGCGCTGCTATCGCTGCATGGGCAGCGAACGCGCCTGCAATGCGTAAGACATCACTGCCGGCGTCGCAGTCGCAGTCGCAGCCGCTGGCTGTCTGGCTGGCTGGCTGATGATGACGTCTTCGCTGCAGCCAGACAGCTGTCCTTTGGGTGTTATTTGCTGCCGAGATTTTTCCGCTTTCGGCATTGTTTCGCCGCGCCGCCTGCCTCAACTGTCTCCGTCTCTGTCTCTGCTGCTTCTTCCAGACATTTCTTTAGTTCCGTTTTGTTTTGTTTTCTTTTTTGTTTTTTTGCAGCAGCAGCATTTTGGCATGTGCCGTCCTTTGACTAGCCCTGCAGCTGCTGTCGCCGACGCCTTTGCTGCTGCTGCATTGTTGCGCATTCCGTCTTTTTGTTCAATTTGTGCAAAATGTGCCAATTATGCTGCTTATTACCGTTAGCAATAGAAAACGAAAAACGAACGAGCGACGAGCGAGTGCACCGAAAAATCAAATACAGCTGCGCAACGGCTCGCCCACTCTCTCTCACACGCACACATACGCTTGCGCACGCTCATTTTTGCCTGTGAAGCGAACGAGTGTGGAAAGAGAGCGAGAGCGCAGAAAAGCGCAAGCGCAAGCACAGCACTGCCAGCTCACAAAAAAGCTTGCCAAAAGCTGTCATGTGCGGCAGCTTGGCAACCCTGGCTGCCACTTTTATTCCAATTGCACACTTTCGGCAAGTATTTATTAATTATGAATTAAAAGCATTTCAAATTGTTGGCCAACCTGTACAGTGTGACTAAATGCAGCGCTAAGCACATGAATTGGTTCATGGACAGTTTGTTTAGGCATACAAACGACAAATATTGATTAAGCTTCAAAGTACAGATGCATATGTATATATGTGTGTACTTGCATACATATGTAAGTATATTTAGTATGTGTATGTATGTATGCATGGCTGTATACACAATATATATATGTATGTATGTATTTCAGTAATGATGGAACAAATTCTAACTTCCAGTCAGGATCTAAATATTCCATACCTAAAATAGTTGACCTTACTGGGTATTCCAGCTGATTGAGTGCATTTATATTTACATACATACATACATACATATACGCTAGATGACTTCCATATGGCTTGTCTCTGTTTGTTAAGCTCATTGCCATTGCACTTACCCTAGTTACAGGTAATCATTAGCTACTTTAAGCAAATTATGTAAATATTTTGGCTTATTTACTCTGCATAGCGCCCGAATTGGACAGATCTTAGCAATGGATTATACTAGGAGAAATATGATCGCCCAATTTTCTTGAACTTTCACATTTTTTTCGATAAGGAAAACTCCCTAATTACAAACAAAAGGGGTATTACGTGTCAGCCCCTCCCCTGCCACCGCCACTCTCGCGCTGCCTTCCCCATCCTCTTAAAATATCGAAGTCTGAAATAAATATTTGAACGGGAGTTTTCATATTTACGCTTGAATTTTCATTGAATTTTCACTGGATTTCCCATTCAACCCCTAGCGGAAAATTTGTTTAAACAACTGTGTAAATACTTTCTCTCTGCTTTCTCTCTCCATTTGCAGGGGCACAATCAGTTTTTTCATTATTTTGTTCCCAAAATAAAAAATAATAATAATGCTAAGCTGGCAATCAAAATACAAACAAAAATTTTAATTCCACAAAAAAAAAATGGGAATTTTTTGTGTGAAAGTTTTCTATAGCTTCATTGTTCCGTTTGAAGCACCTGAATGGGCAGTTAACCCCACCCCCGACACCCTCCCCTACCACATCCCTCACCCCACCACCTCCTCTTCGATTTGACTTTGTTAAATTGTGCATTTTGCAACACTGTTTTAATCCCTTTTGATTTTCCTCTTTTGTTTTCTCGTTTCAATTTTTTTTTTTTTTTCAGTTAACGGCAACAGGATTTTGCTTGTTCGCAGTTTTTTGCTCCAAATGACATTTTCCATATCACTGAGCATCTATTTTCCGATTAGACCGTCAATTGTGTAGAGAAGAGGGGGGAAGAGAAGTGAAGAGAGAGAGAGAGAGATAGAGAAAGGGAAAGAGATGAGTAGACAAAGATACAAAAGAGACAAGGAGAAACAGGGAGGAGAGATGAGAGCAGACTGAGAAAGGACGATCAATAATAGATGAATGAAGATAAAAGGGGGAATAGAGAAAAAAGAAGGGAGAGAGATGAGGGAGAAGCTAAGATAAGACAGAAGAGACTGTGGAGTGAACAGAGAACGGAGACAGGAGAGACAAAAGAGAAGAGAAATGAAATAAGACAAATGAGAGAGAAGAAAGAGAACAAATGAGAGAAAAGACTTTAATGAATTTTGTCGAGTGCTTTTCGTATCGCAGCAGGCGTCTCGTGCGACTGGATTGATGTATTGTCAAATATAAAGATGTGTGAATCGTTTTAGTAGTCCGTTAAAATTGTAGCATGTGTATAGTATATATAGAACACTCACATAAAATTTTCAAACTCGATATATGTATATATTTATATTTATATACATTATTTATATTTTGTATCCTGAACCATTTATATTGATAGCGTTTTAGCAAGAAGAGTAAGAAGGGGAGAAGCGTGGTGAGGCCATGTCCCACAAGACGATGAGGTCCAAGCAGGAGGCCGAGGAGGATGACGCCGACGAGGAGGCCGAGGAAACCAACGGGGAAACCGAAACGGACGTGGATACGGAGACCAAGCCGGAAACCGAATCCGAAGTCTGTTCCATATCCTCCTCCTGTTGCTCCTTTAGGGTCGAAGGCTCCTCGAGCTCCGGCTGCCAGCAGCCGTCTGCTGCTTCCACTGATCTCAGCCTGTTGCTGCGGCTCGAACGGATGACCCAACAGAAGATGACCCTGGAGGAAATAAGAGACCAAAAAATAGAACAAGCCGATGGTATTGAGCAATTCGCAGTTGGCGAAACACATAACTTTAAGTATCGCTGCTATCGCAGTCGATCGGAAATCCCGCTGAGCTACGAGGAGCGGGAGCAAGCACTGGAACTGGAGCGCAAGCAGCTGGTCAAAATGGAGCTGGACAGGAAGCGGGAATGGGATAGGATGCGGGAGAGGGAGCTAGAGCGAGAGCAGGAGCGAATGCGGGGACTGGTGGCGTTGCAGGAGAAGGAGGAGCTGAAATGCGAACAGCAATGGGGGCGGGAGAATGAACTGAAAGTGGAGAAAGAGCAAGGACAAAAGGAGCAGCGCCTGATGCGCAAGCTCGCCGAGGAGCAGGAACAATTGCTGCAGCTGGACCAGTCGGACTATCTATTCCTGGACCTGGAGCAGGAGTCTCAGCAGCAGCTATTCAAACGAAAGCTAGAGCGACAACAGGATCAATTTGAGAGCATGGAACTGAAGGAGCAACTCGATTTGTGGGTAAGAGAATCCGTTGAAGATGTCCAAGAGGCAGAGCAACAGGCTCCACACGTTGACTCCTACCCAAGCGACGATCAGACAAAGAGCAACAATGCTGAAGCTCAGGATGACGATGGAAGTGAGAGTGACAAGGATGAGGATGAGGCTACTGAGATCAGCAGAGATGACGAGGAGACACTGCCCACGACAACGTACACCTACGTGAACGAGAGTCCAAGCGACTACCGACCAGGAGGCTACCATCCGGTAAGTGTGGGCGACTCGTTCCAGCAGCGCTACTTCGCCATCAGCAAGCTGGGCTGGGGCCACTACTCGACGGTGTGGCTCTGCTACGACACGGTGCGCAGCTGCTACTGCGCCATCAAGCTGGTGAAGTCGGCGGAGCTGTACGCGGAGTCGGCGCGCCATGAGATTCGCCTGCTCCGGCACATCTCGCAGCTCAGCTGGCACCCGCTGCGCGACCGCCTGGTCAACATGACGGACAACTTCAGCACGAGCGGCGTCAATGGGACGCACCAGTGCCTGGTCTTCGACGTGCTGGGCGACAACATGCTGATGCTCATCCAGCGCAGCTGCTACCAGGGACTGCCGCTATACAACGTCAAGCAGATCGCCTACCAGGTGCTGCAGGGGCTGTACCTGCTGCACGACCAGGGCCAGCTCATCCACACCGACCTCAAGCCGGAGAACGTGCTGCTCGTGGCCGACGAGCTGTCGCTGCGCAGCCAGGCCACGGCGGAGTCCAAGAAGTACCTGGATACACACCAGCGGCAGCTCAGCCTGGCCGACGCGAAGCTGAGCAAGACGGCCAAGCGCCGCCTGCGCACCAAGACCAAGCAGAGCATCAGCTTCTTCCAGTCACATCGCAAGTGGCTGCGCGAGCGCGGCATTGACGACCTGCTGCTGCTGGCCAAGCACGGCCTGCTGACGACCAAAATGGCCCTGGACGCCGTCACAAACCAGCTGCCCTACCTTGCCTACGACGGACCCGTCATATTCTCTGCCGCAGAAGTGCGCAAGCTGCGGCTCAGCCAGGAGCACTCGAGCGAGGAGCAGGTGGGCGACTCCCAAACGTCGAGTCGGGCCAGGAAGCGCCGCTCGAGAATGGCCGAATCTGAGCGCGGCCACAACTCCGGCTCCGGCTCCGCCTCCTCCTACTCCTCCTCGAAGGCAGCCAAGTTGCTGCAGAGCAGCACCGAGAAGTTCATGCGCTACGTCCAGAAGTGCATTGAGAACGACGAGAAGGACGAGCAGGAGAAGAGCAACGAATCGCACCACCTACACAACAAGCGCATGAAGAGCAAGAAGGGCGCCAAGAAGGCAGCGGCTCGGCGCCAAGCCGACCTGCCCGCTGCCACCTCGAGCAGCGGCAAGCTCAACATGGCTATGATCGAGCGCAAGGACCCCGCCTTGGAGCCCTGCAAAGTGAGGGTGGCCATCGCCGACGTGGGCAACGCCTGCTTCGTGGACCAGCATGTCACCGAGGACATACAGACGCGCGAGTACCGCGCCGTCGAGGTCATACTGGGCGCTGGCTACGACACCTCGGCCGATCTCTGGAGCGCCGCCTGCCTCTTCTGGGAGCTGGCCACGGGCGAGTACCTCTTCGAGCCGAACAAGTGGCGCGGCGATGCCAGCCCGGACGAGGTGCACATCGCTAACATAATTGAGACATGCGGGCCGATACCCAGGGAGCTGATTGCCCGTGGCGAATACTCGGCGGAAATCTTCAACTCCAAGGGGGAGCTCTTGAATATTAAGAACTTGGAGCCGCATCCTTTGCATCAGGTCCTGATGGAGCGGTACAACTGGTCGCCGCGCGATGCTCACGAATTCGCCGACTTTCTGAAGCCGATGCTCTGCACAAGTCCCCAACGCCGCATCACGGCCTTTTCGGCCATCAATCATCCTTGGCTGTTGCTCCACGAGGAGGACGAGGCGGAGCAGCAGGACCCAAACGAGAGCCACGCATAGTGCGAAGCAGGGAGGGAGGGCCAAGGGCAAACATACGTTCGTTTCGAAATTCATTGAGAGCTAAATTCAACTTTATACAAGTATAGGGCATATAAGATCATATCATTTTTATTTATTTTTTACTTTACAAATCAATTAATTTGAGTCTTAAATTTGAGTGCGCCTTAGTAATTAGGTTAATATCTAAATCAACAGACTCATGCACACACACAGACCCCCATACGTTTCTAACTAACTGCATACAAATAAGCCAACAACTAGCAAAATACTATATAATTAGATATGTATTCATTTGTTAGCTTCGAATTTAAATAATAAACAAGAAATGCGCGTCTACGATATGTGAAATCGAATAAGTCTCTCGTTATCGATATCGATTTGCTGCATTGCACGATCAGGGTGACCAAAAGTATCAAAGAACAAATTTCATGTACTGCACTGCATGATCTGGGCAGCCATATTCTGAAATTATGGACATGGAATCGAACAGATTTACACATTCACCCGCTGCACCTAATTTTGGCAGCGCCTAATCCTATTTTTATACATATTGCTTGTGCAGATAGAAAAGTTTGAGCTTGTTAGTATGATATTTTTTATTGCTCAGTATTTTGCGTGCATAAGAGTGTGGTCACACTGCGTGTAAAGCTGTGAACTTTGTAACGCTAAATTAGGCGCGAAATGTAAGTGTAAATAAATAAAACATTTAGAATACAAATTCACCAAAAAGCTATAATACATGTTACGATATTAGAACTTAACAAAAGGGATGTGAATGAATAACTCGTTCTGCGTGTATGTGTGCATTACATAAACCTCATTTTGATAACGCCCAATAAACAACAACAGAGCAGACAACTAATACGAAAATATTTACCGACATGCACACGCACACATACATTCGCAGTCATTGTCATTCAAGGTTGGATTACAACAGGCAGACGGGGCTATGCGCCAAATTTGAACGGAACGGCAGTCGGGTGTCGACTGGCTGTTGTGCTTATCACATCAGCTAATACAGATAATATTCTATGAGTGGAAACACTCAGGAATAATAATATTTACAATTGATTAAAATTGTCTGCGTGTGTGTGTGACTTTGCCGCTGATATAAGGCTTTTTGTCAGCAATTAATTCCGGTCTCTATAAAGACTGAGCCGAGCTTTAAGGCAGGTACGCTGCTAAACGCTGAAAAAGAATATTTAAATGCTGTGATGTTGGCTGCTACCGAATTTTCTAAAAAAACAAAATATTCATCTACGTTTTGTCATATTTTTCGTGTTTCCAAATTTATTTGTAGATAGCTGCTCGCATTGTTTTGCATATGCAACGGCCAAGCGCAATACTGCGCTTTATCGCAACTTGGTCACATTGTTATTAAATGTCGTTAGTCATATTGCTAAACCGCAGCAATTCTTTAACGAGCGCGTTAAGTACATGGCGCAAATTAGTAATTTCAGCAGGAGCAATTACAGCAGCAACAGTAACCCACGGATATCACAACAACCGAATTCGTGGCTGGCCACAAGTGTATAAGCGTTCATATCAGGGGTAAGTGCATACCTAGCTCATAAATGTGCCAATATACATGTGTAGCAGGTGAAATTGAAATGTATTAAATAATGACAGATTCCGAACAATGGACACACCGCCGGATGTATTTCAAGGGGTGAAGGACCGCTACTTGGGTGTAACGGTCGATGGCAACCAACAGGACATTGCTGACAAAGCACAATTTTGCGAAAAGCTGCACAGTAAATTCTATAAGAGAAATATTCTTCATTCACATTATATATACACTATTTGCAGAATCTTTGGCCTTTTGGCGAGAAAACAAAAATCGTACAATATGGTTTCGTGTTTACAAGAAGCAGGCCGATTGGGTGCCCATTTTGGCTGAAGCAGGCTTCGATTTCCACCACGCCCGCTCAGGTGTCGTCACCATGTACCTGTGGCTGCCCAAGGACGAGCCCAGCAACTTGCCCAGCTATGCACATACATTGCTTGGCGTTGGTGGGCTGGTGATAAACGAAAATAACGAAGTGCTGGTCGTTTCCGATAAGCATGCGATAGCAAAGGACATATGGAAGTTGCCCGGCGGCTATGTGGAGCCGAAGGAAAATCTGGTTGACTCCGCCGTGCGTGAAGTCATGGAAGAGACGGGTATACGGACCACATTCCGCTCGATGGTTTGCCTGCGACACTCGCATGGCGGCAATTTTGGATGCTCCGATATTTATGTGATCATTGCCCTGAATCCGCTGAATCTGGAAACCACACCATGTGAGCGTGAGATCGCTCGTGTCAAGTGGATGCCGCTGGATGAGTACTTTTGCCATCCCCAAGTGCTAGAGGCCAATCGATTGTTCGTGCGTACCTATCTGGATTACCAAAAGCGGGGCCTCGACTTTACCTGCTCTAGCATGGTGCATAGCCTGCTCAAAAAGGAATACAAATTGTATTATGTTGCTCCAGAAAAGGATAGTAACAAGGAAGTGCCAAAACTGTAGTGAAATTATTTCAAGTGTTTTTTATTTGTACATAGTTAAATGTATAGATAAATGTAAACCCATTTAGAATTTTAATTAGCTAAACATCGGACTATCGCTTGGGCAGCTACTCGGGCAGCTAATTGATACATGTGTATGTGCAATGGGCCAAAGGACATTTGGCTTATCACTGCTTCGATACATCGATAACGGTTTTTCCCTTAGGAGTTAATTGCAGTGTGTGTAAAGCAAGAATTAAAGCCATTCATCAATAACATTTTTATCTTATTTATACTGGTCGTTAATTTACAATAAAATTAGAGATAACTATAAATTTGTCTCTTGCCGTAGGTGGTGATCAGAGGCCTGTTAGTTCTGAGAGTGGCCATATGCGGCAGACGACTCGGCTACGTATTAGACCGAGCGGTATGGGACCATAATAGCGCGAATCCGAGCTATTACTTTTATTATCGCCTTCGATCCAAACACAACCATGAGGCACATAATCTGTGACCATTTTAACTTCAGTCAGCTGCTTTGCCGCCGTTTCGGCCTCTATTGGAGTGGGCTTAAGGGTAGTTATCTTCTCACCAGACACGGCCACAATTCTCTTGCATATATATTGGCTAGCATTAACGGGCGAAACGGCAATTATAATATCGCCAGATTGATACTTGCGCCAATATTTTGACAAACGTTCCGTTAGCAGTACATTATCGGAAAACAGCGTTGGCTCCATCGACGGACCTTTACACTAGAACACAATCATGCGTTGATACATATGTAAATATATAGATCATTATTAACTTACCAAAACGAAGTCCCCCACATACTCAAACGTACAATGAGTTATACAAGCGTAGGCGATTGTGTAGCGTGCCAGAGTTCGCAAACGCGAGAGTACTGTGTAGCCCATGCCCATCTTCATGACGGCTCCGCTGCTCCGCGGTCTCCCTTAGTTAATGTAAAATTGTATCAGCTGAGTTGCCGTTGCACCAAAGCATATTTAAAATAAATAAGTAAATATATTTTAAGGTTTTGTGTAACAAATAAAAAATAACAACAAATTGTGGTTGGCTGCTTGCATTACCAGGGCTACACAGCACTGTTCGCCAGCTGTGCCGTGCTCGAACTCTATCGATAGTTCCTACCAGGGCTGCACCTCTTTTGTACCTGCACCTCTTCTTCCCACTAGGTGTCAAAATTCAAAAATATATACACATTCGCAATATCGTACGAGTTGAAACAAAAAATGTAAACTCTAAATTTTGCACACACACACAAAACAATAAAAATTCTATTTATTAATCATGTTCAACCACTGACAAACTGTTTCAACTACTTTTTTTTTTTAATTTCTGTTTTTTTCGTTTGTTTTTGACTAATAACGCAGAGAATTTCTACGGATAGTTTATGTAAATATATATCTACATATATATATGTATATATAACCAGGTCTCGGTTTGTATTGTAGTTAGCCCTTACACATTATATAGTTAAATACATATAGATTAAGATCAAGAGAATTCATTTTAAAAATGGATGACATCAAATTCCAATCATTAACAATATAGGATATAAATATAT